GACTAAATTACTCCGTAGAGTATCTATTACAATAGCTAGTAAGTGACACTAAGTCCAGCAGCCACCGCGTCTATCCAAAAATGTGGCGGTAGCCATATTATATCAAATTTAAACAATATATGTACAGTTCAAAGGCAAACACAAAAACTTCAATATAAGTACAAAATATGGAAAGAATAACAACATACAATGGTAAAATCTCAAATTGGAATCAAATAAAATACCAAAAATGTCAAGAGAAAAAGTCCATCAGGTCATAGCAAAATATGTAAACATGGAGGGATTTTCCAAAACACAAAGCATTCAAAAAGAATTCTACAAGAGGTAGTATTTTATAGACTTTTAATTACGAGAAGCAGTGTTTCCGAAAACAGCTTCTGTTGTTTGCCACCATCTACTGAATTTTTACACCAACAACCATGAAATGTTTTTCCGCATACAGTGATGTCGTTCTTACTTAAAGTCTGTTTTAGAAACCAAATCATAAGCGAAGTCAGTAGTTGCGTGAAGTTAGAAATAAATTTGCAATGTAACTGATGAGCACCAAACAAGATCTGGATGATGATATATTCATAGATGACGGTGCTCGAATCAATAATGTTAGATGACTTATGTTACGAATGAATCCATGGCTGTAAATAAATCCCAAGATTAATGGGTCTATAAGTCTTCAACATTTAAGCTGACGTCATCAGTTTTAGTAGACGCACCAAAGCTGGAGGCGATCGGTCACGCAGTCGCACCTGACCACTACAAAGCATGCTGTGCTACGCACTCCCTGACGTCAACTAGCATGCTTAGTTCACTCACTGCTCGACATGCCAGACCTCCCGCAAACACAAATTCGGTCTCCTTCATTCCCGACATCGAGTCTGATTGGGTTTCAGGTATTTTCCATCTGAAAGATTTTACAGACAGAAGCGTTGTCAAACTCTGATCATCTATGATGCATTTATAATAAAAAATTTGCTCCTGTTACATTTGCCAGTGACCATGAATAATGCAGTAACAATCAGATAGTTTTACTGTTATAGCCTATAATCCTACTCAACGTAACAAACATCTAAGTAATCTGAGAATGAGTATTTGCGACTACCGATACCAAAACAACTTCCTAATAATATATCAGTTCTGCGATTTCTTGAGGTAGACCAAGGAATGTACGTGGTAATGATTTTTATGTATGAATTTCACTGAGGGATTTCGGCTCTATTGTCCAATCTTCTGAGGACTCTTAGAGTAAACTTTCTGATTTCCCAAAGTTTGTATTAGGTTGAAGTGACACACTGATATTGACAATGATATGAAAATCGAAGACTAGAATTGCATTTAATCACACTCCTACCTTGGAGTGATTGATAGCTTCTAATGCTACGCAAAGTCATATGTAGTACACTTGTTCTCATTATTGTGCACTTTCTTCTTTCGTGGGACTGGTATCGATAAAGTCAAACGGTCAAGTGTTTCTAAGACCTGATCCTTCAGGCTTCCAAGCTAGATCAGCTGGATCAGCTCTTACTAATGTTAAATGTAAAAAGTCATGTTCATTATTCCTCACGTGTTCGCTCAACCGAAAATCATTGATCGCAAACTATTCTGCTTGGAAGATTATATCTTCACATACTCTTGCAAGACCTCACCATCCAAAAATGTTCTATTTTAAGGTCTTTCTGTCAACACTTTAAATTAATTTTGGTGATTTTTTAGCACCTCTGTTTTGTATAGAGTTTACGGATAGAAAAACTTTACAGATAAAATCTCCTCATTCTGCAGTATTCAGTCCCTTTCTGAGTTTGGCTAGCCTTCAGGAAGATAAACCTTAGAGACAGATTAAGGCATTAGCCAGTTAAGTATACCTTTTTCAGCCCAATGTCACTCCCAAAGTACGTTCTGGGCTCAGAGTTCTCGCTTTCGTTGTTTTTGTAAGTAACAATTATCTGTCACAATAATCGGACTTCCATTTTCTTCTTGGGTTAAGAAGACGGAATTTTCTGTGGTAATATTAGGTAATTCTCACTACCAATTTGTATTCATTCACCATTTTTCGCTGGGGAAGCAGTCACAGCTGCATTAAATATGCTGAGATTGGAATGCATGCCAACAACTTCAATGGTCAGTCTGTGAGTGAAATTTTAATGCAGGTGATCTACAGCAGTGGCTAAGGACCTTCACGAGTTGAATCTCTTAGCTTATGTTGGAGTCAGGTACCGCAGGGTGAGGCTGTAATTTTTGGATCAAAAAAATACAAATTTGACCTTTAGAATACTCCCCTGCTGAGTAGGGTCTAAGACACGGTAGGAAAATAGTTTCAGGTTATCCGCGCACTTGTCATCCATCATCATGCACATCTCGGAATCGATATTTCCCAGCTTCCGTTTCGCTAGTACTTGTGAACTTTATCCCAGAATTTATCCTTATTTTGTGAGATTGTTTTTCAAGTTAACCAAACATGGAATAGCCAAAATCTTACCTCATGCTGACGTATTGAACTGAATTACTCCTCTAAGTTCCTAAATAACAATCAAATATTTTTTGTTTCGAGAGATAAGCATGATAAAGTTTAACAAATCATGAGTTAATCAAGTTTTTACTGAGGTCTACATTACGAAATTTTTACCCTTCAGTGGCATATATCTGTAAAATCTTACTACCTCAGAGATAGCGATTACCTGCTACCCCAGGATAGCTGAGCATATAGTTCTAATTTATGGTTTCTATATGGTCGTCAATGATGAAATGAGCTAGAACGTTTGAAAGGCTGATATATATGCCCTAAAAGTTTTCAGGTTCAGAATGACCTTCGAAAATGATTTGAATGGTTTAGAAATAGAGAACTGTTGATAAATGCTCGAATGTGCCTCATAATGCATAATGGTTACCAAGTTCTGTATAAGTAAACGGCAAATAGCATTGAACTACCTTTCGTTCAGACACTTTGTGTAGCACGAGTCATCAATAGCCTAGCTTCGGAACACCTGTACGCTGCCATTTGATAGCTGTCACAGGTTTTATAATCCTATGGTCAACGAGTAGAGCATTCGGATGCCAGTGCTACTAGCTGATGAACTTGATTCTCATATTCCTTATTTTCTAGTGTTGGTAGACAGTGACCTAACGAAAACCTCAATAACGTTTACAAGTCCGGAACACATCGCCTATCAGCTGAGTACTCAGTCAAATCATCAACAAGTGGAACTAGTTACCTGTTATAAAACGGACGATAATCTATAAGATGACTTCACATGAAGTCAACGGATGTCTTGAATACAAGTACTTCTATTTCTATCGCACATATAAACTGACATATCACTTCCAATATTCTGCTGTTCACGGAACATCTTTACCTACTTATGGATAGTAAGACTGGTCTACTTTACTATCTGGCTACTAATACGATGGAATTTAGGAGAAATATTTGTTACGTAGACCTGCTTAACTACGCATTTTCACAGGTTAATGCAAACAAGGAAATCAGTAAATTAGTTTGAGCAGTATGAACGCTTGAGTGAGTACTGTGCACGTGATGATGTGAGTGTAAGTAGTATGAGGAGGTGACAATCTGTCTGACATGAATTGACAGAACAGATTTCTTACCTACTTATCTAGTCTCAGACCCAACTAGGCAACAAAAATCGACTTTCGAAATACTTGTACTAACCAAAACACCATACCATTAGTCTAAATTCATCTACCGTTTTGTTGAAAGCTGGGAACACATGAAAGCCGATTGCCATCGGGTGGTTCGAAGTGTAGTGATTTCAACCTGCGTACAACTCGTAATGCACGTCTCAGTCCTTGACGTACCACCCACAATTTGCATAAACTGACCTAGTTTTCGTGCAATAGCAGCTCCTCTTCCCGTCCGTGCTTATGTGAATAAAACTTCTAGTCGCGTACCGCAGCCTAAATTATAGTGGTTCACACTCAACTACATACATTGGGGCTTTTGCAGTCTTCATACCACGTATCGTCATTTCATGGCCAATCTGTGTCAGTACTAGTGAGGAGTATACTACTCACAAGGTGGCTTGTAATTAGTATACAGTAGAGTTACATCTTGAAGTTATTGATTTGTCAAAGAAAGTAGGATCCAGAGGTATGACTCGATCGAAGTGCTTCAGAGACTCTAAGATTAGTGAAGGAAGACAGCTGATAATCCGACTGATTAGCAAATAGAAGTTTGAAAATAACTTGTACACATTATAGCCAGTAAACTGTTAGCTCCAAATCAATGAATTATGACATCTGTTCTTACCGCCATCATTAAAGTTAGAAGAGATTTTCTTTATCCCCTAGACCAAATTTCCTTGTCCTTGGATCAAAATTCATCCATGAATGTTCACAAAAAAGATAATGAGTCGTCAAGTGTGTTTTTCATGTACTTATCCTTCTGTGAGACAATTAGGGAAATCGACTGGTAATCCAGAAGCTTGGGCTTAAAATATCACGTCGGACCTTTAGATCTCACGTTTTATTATTAGCATTAAGGTCTACGTTTTCAGGTTAATGTGGACGTCAAAAAAACTTGTGTCATTTACCGCTCAACTTTCCACATGCATATAGTGAGCGTAAGTAGTTTGAAAGACACAAGAGTACTTTCCTCATACATACTGGGATTGATCGATCACTCTTACAAGTTCCGACCAAAACATGATACGTGGACTCGGATCGGTACATCAAACGCATCAGTAAAGTTAACTGATGTATTTTATGATCAGGAAGCAAGACAACAGGTACTCTATCGATGTAATATAAAAGAAACAAATGACTGTTGATAGGCAACTTTGTTTACTGAATGAGGTACTATGAATACTGCTTAATTCACTATTTATGAATCGTAGGTACTTTCAAATATTGTATATTGAAGTTTCGAATTAACTCCTGCGAAGTAGGTGTTTCCATTGCAATGAGGATTTTTATTGAAATCACCGTAAAATTCGTATAATTAATCAGATTTTAAGTCTCATTGTTTTTCTTCTCCTTTCCGGATGCGGAACAAAGTACGCCGGTGTTTCCGAATCTCATGAATGTGAGTGATTTTGGTCAGGTTTGGTTTTCATGTGGTTCTGAAAAGTCAGGTGTCATTATGTTCTACTTAAAAATAATTCTCAGTTCTGTGGTCAACATATGTTATTAACTGACATCAAGTTGTTGACTGAACTTCACTTAAGCTGTTTTCAAACGGCACTTACTGAATGTTTGGTAATTGATTGGGATTATTAATATTTGCAAAAGATCCAATGCACATTTCTTACAGCTTTTGTGAACTTCATACTCATTACCTATTGGGTTAAGCTATTTAAGGTCTCACTTCGCCATATTTATGCTTGTTCCTAACCTAGTATCCTATTTATATTGGTGTTACTTCTTGGTGTAATTTGAATGAGCTATCGTCAAGTTGTATGTATGTTTGTCTTCCTTTCTGACGTGTATTCTGTTTCTTACCTCTAAGTCGTATGTTTGCAGACTTAATCTCATTCGACTTATTATCGTCTATTCTGGTGGCCTTGCCCCAGAACTTCATTTCACGGACGTTAACATGTTAGGTCCGTTACTTAGTTTCGAATCTCCGCCTCACAGCTCATATATACAACAATAAATTCCATTTCTGGGCATATACAAATAAATGGACAGTTTATTCAGTGACTAGGTACTGTCAATAAACGGTAAAGTTAATGGTGATAGCTGTATACCAGCAGATGATTGTATGCATTACTTCCGAATTACATTACTTTGGTGGCCTACATTACAGGTGGTATTATTTCCAAGATGTGCTTATTGAGTTTTTTTGACCCAAAGCATCTACATTACGAATAGATCTGCCACGAGACATTGACGTGGCTCAAAATCGTTTACAATGACGCAAGTGCATTCATTCTTTGCCTTCTCTCAAATTCTAGTCTTCTGAATCCCTCGTCACCTTTACCTGTTGCTTTATAACTTCGTTCCACTGGATTATGCTTCAGTAATATGTTCGAACCCACATCCTCATTACCGTTAGTACTTCTACTACCTTTAAATTGAATCACATCTCTGTACTAATGTGGTATGAAAACCTTAACCGATACACGTACGTACCAAGTTCTACGTTGCGGCTTACTGACTAAATAAACCTATCCTCTGCTAATTCAGCGGTCTCGACCGTAGCTGTTACCTTGACGTGGTCGGTCTTGCTTATCGTGATGACCCAATCGAGCTATATCGCCTGGGAAATATGTTCCATTAGGTACTGCCTGACCTCAAACAGTTGGCTTTTGTGCTCTGCCGCCACGCTCCTAGGTGGCTAAGACCAACACAAGTCCAATTTTCATTTCCAGGGTGTGGGCGGCCGGGATGTGACGTCCGCCCTCATGACCGTAACAGCACAAGACCAAACCGGCCATAATCAAATCCTTCCTTATAAAGCGATATTATGAAACTGACCTTTTGCTGTTGTTTTCGAAATACGTATAGTAAGCTCCTGAGGAAAGGTAAGACATTGAAAAAAGGTTATGTATTGGACCATCAGAAAGGACTACTTGTTTTGACATAATAGCGACTCAAATACGTTAATGTACCAATCTCTAAGTTACGTATAACTGATTAGTGGTAAGATTTAGAAAGTACAAAGCTGGTAGGGCAAGAATTGGTGAAGTGGTTTAAAACCCCGCTGTTCGGACAACTAAGAAGTGTCAAGTACTACACTTCTATTATTCCTACTAATACCGACTCCCTAAATTTGTCTTATGCCCAATATATCATCAAAATGTTTTGTTTTTTTCAGATTCCTGAAACCCTGTCATATGCCTTACTCGTCAAGTTCACACGTTCCTTTACTCCCTTCAGATGCGCGCCATAAATTACAGCTCCGAAAATGCTACAATGATTCAACAAGTATTGGAAAAACAGATTTAAGACGGCATGTGCGGGATACTGAGCATGACTCTTCTTTGAGACTTGGTATTAAACGGAGGTATAATTCGCGTGGCAACAGTAATGCGGTCAACTATCATCCTGGAGAACAAAAGCGTATACGAAAATCGAGTCCCAATTATGGATACCCGAGCACAGAAAGTCATAACTCTGATGAAGAATGGAATCTGGGAATAAACAAAAATGTTTCTCGTAAAGTAACCAATTTGTCTAGGAATCCTTCGATAAGCGGTATTCGACCACATGGTTACGGTAGCCGCTTTCATGGTCATGATCCGAATCAAGCCGTTATGCTGAACAAATTCAAAAACTACAGAATGGATGTTAATAATGCCAATCAAAATATAGATAACGAACAACTTTTGATGTTGTATTACAGTCATATGTATCAACAGTACTACCGAACCTATACGGCGACTGCTCTCTCTCTGTCAAAGTAAGTTATAACCTATAGAAATATCAAATTACTTTGTTTGTAATGGATAACTAGGACTACAAACTTGATATCTACGTCCAATGATTGGGTCCTACTCACTAATAAGTAATTTTAAATTATGTGACTAGGAATTTTATTCATTGAAACATAAACTGGTACAAAAAAATACCTCAATATTTATGCTCCACAAAAATTATTGGATTTGTCGGTAGGCTGGGATACTGCTTGGCTGCCCAAACCAAAGCAAGTGGTTTCTCTGGGAAGCCACTCTTCGAGACTTTGACCTTTAGGTCTAACCCATAATGCAGTGCAAACGCATCAGCAGATGCAGTTCCAGTACCCAGTGACCAACAGTGGGTTCATACACCGTTTGTTACCTCGGGATCCTGGAGCCTCCCCCTGATTAGATCCTCTGTACCCAGCAACCCGGTTTAAGCCCTGACCAAACGTCCAATTTCCATCCTCTCTCATGAACAACCCTGCCACAGGAAAAGTGAGTAGGACCCCCCAACAGTAAGCGTATGTGCGTGGCTGTATCAAATCATTTGAAGAGGAAGAGCATACTCTCCTTACTCACGATCGTACCAGTGCATTTCGGGAATAAATTATCCCAGGTAACTTACGTTATGAAGCTCATCTACCAGGCACAGGTTTGTCTATGCACATACTGTCAGAGCTAGTGATGCTACTCGATTGTTTCAAACTAAGCAGTGCAATGTTATTCAGATCTGCAATTTAATACTTAAAATCCACCCAGTCACTGTTTCACTCAAGCCCTTGTGTAGAACTTGGTACGTACGTACATCAGTTCACTTTGTCATACCACATTAGCACAGAGATGCGATTGTCAATTCAAATCTCAAAGTGGTAGCGTTAGTAGAAGTATTAACCGTAATAAAGAAGTTTAGGTTTCGAAGATCTTATTCAAGGAGTATAATACAGTGAGATAAATTTGAGATGAGATGGTACACATTGATTTGTTTATTAAAATTTACAATCTAGGTAGATACCTTTGGTTTTTTTACCGCTGATCTCGAGCTATGTTTTGTGAGAGCTGTTTTGTGGTGTCGGGGTAGGTTGGAAGAAAGCTAGGGGTGGCCAAACCAAAACATGGCATAAATCCATGAAATCACTTACAAGTGGACTAAGTCATGTTGGTAGATGTAGACTACCTGGTTGGGGTTCGCGAAACGAAAGTCATCGATGGTTAGAGACTTTGAACAACATGGCTCAAAATCGTTTGCAATGGCGCAGATGCATCCCCTCTTTGTGTTCGCTCAAACTCTTACCTTCTGAAATACCCATCATCTAAATTTATCTCACTGAATTATACTTCTCAAATCATATCTTCGAACCCTAATCTTCCCCATTACTGCTTATACTTCTACTATCGCTGCCACTATTGGATTTGAACTGACAATTGCGTCTCTGTGCTAATGCGATATGGCAACCTGAATTGATGTACGTACGTATGAAGTTCTACGTTGTATCTGTTTGTGTTATCTCTAAGCTAGCTGTTTTGACTGCATAGTATCTATTTCACCTAGAAATATGAGCTGAATGTTATCCAGTTGTGCAATTAACCTACCTAGTTCAGAAGAAGTACCATTAATATTGTTTAATATTCCATTCGAATAACTGTGTCCGGCCTCAAGGTTTCATACAAATAATTTAACCGTGACTGAAAGCACTCTAAAAGAATTAAGCACTTGATCAATTTAATGCTACGATGCGACTTGTGTATGGTACAGTAAATTTACTCTGGCTTCTTTGTCAGACGTAATCATCCGTATAATCGTGAAACTCATCAGATCTACCGTCAACTCTCTGCGGTTACGTCAGAGAATTTTCATCTTGATTTGCGGGTCATATACATTTCATAGGATTTATAGGATTGCGATGAATGTGCGTACGTATGTCCGTTTAATCCTATTTCGTTTTTATTGTTTTTATCATTGCTTTAGTTATCCTAATGCTGACTTGCTACCTGCTGTTGCGGCTGCAGCCGCTAACAACTCAGGTATTCCACCGGATTTGACTTCTCTAGGATCAATACTATCAAGTGGTAACAGTTTCGATTTTTCAAAACATAGTCGAGATGTAGATATACGCGGAAGGCGTCTAAAAAAGTATCGTAAACATGGGTCATCTGATCTTTCTTCCCGTTCACCTGAACAACACTCACATTCTCGTACATTTCGATCTAATAGAACAAATGACTCTTCTCGTTCCTCTGTAAAAGATTCAGTGCCAAAAGGGAAAGGATTTAGAAAAAGGGAATCACCTATTAAATTGAAAAAGACAGAATACACCTCTGAAGAAAGTGATGACAATCGCCCAGATTACGTCAGTAATGAGCAACTTTGTGAAGAGAACTCTGCAAATGATGATGATGATGATGATGAAATTCAACAGAAATCTTCCAGACGCGTTGTTCGTAGACGTAGGTTTTTTCAGTAAAATGTGTTTACCATTAGTTTTTCGTATTAAATTTAATTAAGTTATTTTAAACTGCAGATCCTCAACATTTCACATTCAAAAATAGCGGATATTCTTTAAGTTCAAGTACTTTACCATAGATCCTTTGATGCATTTGCGTAGGCTCAGACCATCGAGTGATTCAACAGTACGGAGATTAGATGCAGTGTAGTAGGTAAAAATAACATATCAATTGAAGTTGTGAACCTTCATTAACTGAGTTGGTTAAGACTTGTGTTGCGTATATCTGGTCACCACAAACCTTAGCGTGCGGTGTTGGTTGGTGTAATGAGTAGATTGGAAGAAAAGTAGGTTTGGTCAAGATAAGACGTGACAATAGTCTGTGAAGTACCGAATTGTGTAAGTGGGCTCAGACTACCTGATTGTTATCCTTGCTATTTTCGTAGCCAGCGGATAGAAACTGTGACATGGTTCAGTTGCGTTCACTGTATGTCTCCTTTTAAATCCTAAGTTTCTAATTCACCTTATAACTTCTTTATCCCACGAATCCACACTCTCTCAAATCACATACCCTGTGCCTAATATCTATTTTCACCATTACTGTTACTGCTTCTGAATACTCTGAAATCTTTGTGTTAATGTAGTGTGTCAATTTGAACCGATGCACGTGTGTGCCAAATCCTACACTGCGGATGAATGAATGATTTTCTATAGCTGATAAATGGAAAATTTCCCTTCAGCTATTATAGGATTTATTGATATGGCCAAACGAACTGAATTCTTTCAATGTATAAATAGTTTTGCTAATATCTAAATTAATAAGGAAAAAATTTCAATCTTTGTTGCAAAAATTACTCTTTGCACTGTAAGCTATTTACAATAGTACATATTTTCTCGATCATTAGAAAACCTGTCATCATTATTATCCTAATATTCAGATGTTTACTGCATGATTATGTTTTTGTGCTTTTGAAATGATGCTCTTTTACTGTCACTTGGAAACAAACGCTCAACACCTTATTTGACATTGACGTCAGTTCACAGTGACAGTTTAGCCGAGTATTTCATATTGGTTCATATTGGTTGATGTCTATCGATTTTGATCAATGTCATGTAAATCGTTAACTATTTATTCATTTTTCTGAAATGGTGTGATGCTCTTCCATAGAATTCGATACAAACCAAGTTATTCGTTAATCACTAAAACTGCTTAGTAAATTTTTTTTTGTCTACTCGACTATTACTTCCACATATCTTGTTTTATTTTTGAATTGTTAGAAAGTGCTTATACTTTTGGGTTAATGTTTTGTTGAACTAGACTCAACTGTTGAAACTACTACTTCAACTAGACAAAAAGGAGAGTCAGTTCATAATGAAGATAATTCCAAATTGGTAACTTCAAATACATCTGAAATTGTTACTGAATCCAAACAGTCGTTCGGAGCTAATAATGAAGTTAGCACTACAGATGCAGTATCACTTAATGAAACTGAATCTGTTGAAGAAGGTGAGGCCAAGGATGATGATACATATAGTGAGGAGAGTGAAGAAAATGAAGGTGTACTTGAAGAGTCCTCAAGCGAAAATGAAGCAAACAGCTCACGTGAAACAGTTAGCTCGCATCAACAAAGCAAGAAAAAAGTGAATAATGTTTCGGAATCAAAATCATCTAAAGTACAAAAAGCTTCTACGTCCTCAACATCTAACCGAGCTGCGCCAGAAGAAGGTCGGAGACGGCATGTTGAAGTCTTGCCTACTGACACTTTACTTCCTACGTCCACTGAGTAAGTTATTTTACATCAAGATGAATAAACCCACAAACTTTATTTCATTGTCTAAATATCATATTTTTCTCCCTAGGTTTGATCATGAACGTGGGCCACTTTTACCTACACCGGTGGATGTGGATAGACGACACTTAAGATTTCGTAACACTAGTAGTGATTTATCATTATTTCCTGGCTGTGCTACAGCACCTCCTATTCCAAATGTCTTGGAAGCTGCCGCATTAATGTCAGGCCTCTGTCCATCTCTCTTTCCATCTATGAATCCACCAAACTTGTTGAATACTCTTAGATGTCCTCCTGTTGATTTCGCCCCACCATTTTGTGATCTATTCAATTTACCTAATCCAATTGAAATTCAAAAACAAATGAATTGTTTGAAGTTGAACTGTCATCCTCCATCCGAGTCCTCGGAATCTAAATCTGGACGAACCAAACATGAAAGTTCCAAAATAAGAAGCGACGTCAGGGAAATTCGTTCCACGTTCAATAAACACTACAATATGAAAACTCGATGTGGGAGTAACTCTGACTCTGAAAGTAGTTGTTCTTCTGGCTCAGAATATCAAGCTAATGTAGTACGCAAATCTGTTAATAAGTAAGCGAACTGACCTGTTTTTTTTTGTACCCATAAGTTTTGCACAAATCATGCTAGTTTATTTGTCAAGTTTACTACATACTGACAAAATCAATTTCAATAGATAACAACGTGCATAAATTGAATAATACTCCCTAGAAAAATACATCAGTTAAAACATTAATCATGAAATGGAGTGTAGTGTGTGTACTTTAATATCAACCCCACAGGGTTTGTCCCAGTCTTTGGACAAATTAATTAATCCATTATTCTCAAAGTAGTATTCACACGTCTTCACTCATATCCTTGGTTGTTTTTATTCGAGCCGACGTGTCGCTTACTTCACTTATTACATACCTAACTTAGTCATACTTCGTCGCATCGAGTGGGCTCACTCACCTTCTTCACTTCGCTTTGCTTTAACGCTTTGTATTCTCATGCTATCCGCCTAAATGAATGCATGAAATAAACTCATCTAACCGAATCTGTATTTCGCTTTTTGATACCTCCGTCGCGCGAACGGGGTTCGCTTAAGTAAGATATACGGAAATTGAAGGGAGGATTTATTTCATAGCATACTCGATCTATTAAACTAAACTGGAATCAGATCGCGGGCCACTAGAGTGGTCAGCTCTACTTCGAGTTCAGCGCAGCCACTAAAAGTATTTTCCTATACATTTATGTGTAGGTATACCAATCAAAATTGTTTTCTTCAGCACTAGTTTTAACAGTGAGAGATTTTCATTAAAATTCAAACGCCACACGGTATCAAACTTATAACCTTCAGGTCACAATGCGCACGTTATGCAGCAACAGACTAAGATTGTTGTTTCTTTTAGTGTAATTACCTGCGTTTAGTTATAGTGTATATGGACGTTTGTTTAATATGTCCCGTTAAATTTCGTTGTGAACTATGGAAGTATCACAGTTATATATGTTATACTGACGTTCAGTATAATCTTGTAGAGCTCACCCTGTCTTTGAATAGTGTATACGTTTTGTAGAAATCATAGTTATAATTATGGTTAATCTCTCTAAAAACTCAACATGACTTTTAGCTACTCATTTACCTTAAGGTATGTTTTTACTTTATAGACCACTGTCTTCAGATAGGTGCATGTATGAAGCATCAAAGAACAAGCATTCAGGTAAATTTTCAACAACACATAAAGGGAAAGATAGAATGAAAAAGGAACAGGAACTAGTGTCCGATAAACAGGAATTATCCCGTAAATGTAACAAATATATGTCTCCTGCCAATGAAGCCGGCCCGTCAGATACAAATTCCAATATACCAGTCTCGCGCGTTCCGCGAGGTCCAAGAACACCATCTAGTCCACCATTATCTTCTCAAGATGAAGGCGATTCTGGTGGTACATGTTCTCATTATGATTTGTCCCGTGAATCTTGCTCTAAAAGTTCTCTTAAGATGCACCGACAAAATGAAATAACCAGTTCCATATCAAATTCAAATGAAAATTTATCTGTGCGGAAACCTGCTGTGTGTACAAATCTCCAATCATCTAATTACAAATCGCCCAAGAAGCGCTCCTCAAATCATAATACTAGAACAATACGTACTCGAGATTACCACAGCTCCAACTGTTCCAACTCATCCACTTCTGCGTCGACTTCTCGATCTAATTCTTATGAAGCCCCGAATGTTTGTAATAATTCCAGCAAAAGACGACCTAGAAATCGACATACTACACATTCCAATGCAGGCATGTCCTACGAAGATGATTCCCCAAACCAATCATCACAGTTTGCACATTTTCGTAGAGATGATACTGGTGATAGTAGTGACAGTTCAGTAAGTATTTAAATATTTTTTAAATTTTGGTTTATTCAAAAACAATTGATTTTAGCTTACTAATGTTTCATAGTACATTCCGATTCGATTGTTCTTGCTGTTTAGATATTGTTACTCACAGTTTATTTAATCGAATCACTATATTCTCCATGTGGCTGAATGAGCAGTAACAGCACCAAAATGGAAAAATGGATATTTCAGTGATTGCAAGTTAAGATTCCCCACTGATTCATGGGGTGGTCACTCACTTCTAATCTGAGTGGCCTCTTGAGAAGCCTACCTGCTTCAGTTTTGGCTGCTGGGTAGTAAGTAGTATAGCCTGCACACAAACAAGTGATGCAATGTAAAATAAAAACGAATGTTATCAAATAACCGTACTTGCAGTTATTTGATAACATTCGTTTTTATTTTATATTGCGTCACTTGTTTATTACTTTATCCGTGTTTTGGGTATTCTTTACTCATCAGCTCATAGGGTAGCTCACGTATGGTAAAAATCTTGTACTATCTAAACGGTCTCACTTCACTGATTGGTCAGTTTGAATGCTGCGACCAAATACGAGTTCTGAATCAGCCTTTCTTAAACCACTTAGCCTCCAACGTTCACATACTGATGCAAGTCGGACAACAGATAGGGTTGGCTATGTCTATGGAAATTTTTGACATCTGTGTTTGTTGTATATCCGAAACCCGTATTTAAGATTGGTGACGATCTCGCTATCGATAACTTTATGGAAGCAGCTCTGATGAATGTAGGTAATGGTGGTATGGATCTGTTACCTGAGAAAGGCTTTCAGTATACGGATTGTATTGTCTTGCTGTGCGAAGATTCCCAAGCTATGCAATCCTCACTCAATCACTTGATAATCAGTATCCATTAGTATGGCATGTGCTTTGCACACTATAGTATAGAGTACGTTTACAAGACTTGCAGGACCTTGAACCTGCACCCACCCTTGATGGTGAGCAGATATGAATAGTCGAAAAGTTCATGTATGGTTGTAGCTGTGTAAGTGCTAGTGGTGGCGTCAAGTGATGAGATCAATTCATGTATTGTGAAAGCCAGAGTGGTTTGGGCCAATCTGGGCGATCTTTGGCACTTTTGTGATGTTATTCTGGCCGTTAAAGGTAAGGTCTACAATGCGTCGATGAGATCAGTTTTGCTCCACGCTTGTGAAACCTAGTCTCCAGGTTGAAGATACAAGAAAGTTTTCTACGTTCGATCAAAGTTGTCTACGTCAAGTTACTGACATTCAGTGACAGAAGTTTGGCAGCGTGTGTTTGGACACAGAAACGGTAATTCAATTGGTGTCACAATCTCAGAACACTGACTTCAGTGGTTTGGACCTGTACTACGAATGTCGTCCTAGTGAACTTCACACCATGCATTATTTGCCAAGGTTGCATAAGCTGAAGGGTGGTTAGTGTATGATGTGTTGTCGCGGTATGAACAGAACTGGCATATGTTATTTCTTCTCAACTCGTTGGTTGCGGTCCTATAGACGGTGTGACTCAGTTACTTAAGACGTCGAACATGGATCAGAGTAGAAGCCAGTGGCGGCCCGTCTTAATTTGAGCTTCTTTATATGAGTAGGAGGAACTTAACTGAACTGTTTCACTCCCACACTTGAATTTCTACCCACCATTCTTTCTTTATCGCTTTACAACCATATTTTTATCGTGTGGCGCATATATATTTTGGTGCCTACTCGTATCAATATTTATGCTTTAAATAAATTAAACATCACTCGGCGTGAACCGAAAACTTTTGTTATTTATGAACTATAGGATTATTATTCTGGTAAATCAATCTTCTGAACTGAATATTTCCAGGACGGTAACACGTTACAGTTTCATAACAGATCCTTCTTGCATCAGACAGCTTGACACCTATTTATTAAGAATTGCAACGGTACACTATACTATTATCACATGTAGGAACAATCAGGTTAACTTGTAGGTTCAAAGTGTTTTGAATCTCCCCTCTTCTCTAATCTAACATAAACGACTCACAGTATTTCTTGATAAATAAATATTATGTGTTTAAATATATTATCTTGATTTAATTGCTATTTCCATATACCCTTGAAGTATAAAATGAACCACTTTCTTTTCAAAAGGATCAACGAAACCGTGCACTACCTGCAGCATATGCAAATCCTCATCAAGTTGACCGACATCCATCACACTCGTCTGGTGATGTTGAACCTCCACCTGCTCCTTCTCCTCGTAGTTCATCTTCCTCTTCCTCTTCATCATCCTCTCGTTCGTATTGTCATATCCGCTCAAGTTCAAGTAATCCTCCAGAAAATAACAAGCCCCAAGTAATCTCGTCTGGTTCTTCACGTCATTCATCAACATCTGAATCACAAGACAGAGGTAGGCATACTCTATCGAAGTCACAACGACAGGGTTTCAAGCCGAAATCAAAGAAACTGAGTGATAGTGATGATCACAATCGACAATCACGCCCTTTAAAAGAGAAGAAAAACATGACTACATCCATCTGTCGTAGAAGCTCTGATTCTGACGATAATATCGATGACAAAAATAGAAGAGAAGTCTCAGATCAGGTTCACAGTTACCGCGATTCTTCGTCAGATCTTAAAGATATTTCTTCAAAAGAGTCATCCATTTTAAGACGTGGAGAAGATGGATGTTCTGACGTTTCTGAGGATAGAAGTTCAACGTCAGGTGATCGAAATGGACGTAGACAGTCCTCTCGTTCTCCAACTTCTTCTTGCAGTTCCTCTAGAAGTACTGACCGTAATGTTTCAGACCTTAGAAACAAAGAAAGAGTGATGCAAAACAAATACAGACGTTCCGAGCGAAAGCCATGTACTCCTGATTCATCATTGGCGAATAATCGCAAATATGGACAGATTAAGAACAGAAATGAACATACGGTTGAAGAAAAACATTTTAATACCAACCGTAAACGAGCCCTACTTTCTCCACCAACAAGCAGAAAACCTGGAACTAAAATATGGAGGTCAAGGAAAGGTTATGACAATGAAGTTCCCGCTTCGTCTTTACGACATCCTCAGCCTCCCAATTCCCACCACTCAGTGAATAAAAAGGTTTTTCATGGACACGTCCCATCAAAAACATTCAGGTAGATTTGGTTTTCTAACCATTTACTGTACTTTTATCACAACTAATAATATTATTTGCACGAATATATTCTGTTTTTTTTTTGAGTACTTGATATATCGCTTAGTGTAAGATATTTGTATTCGTAGCTTTTGAAGTGCATTAGAAATCCCCACCAGCCAGCTTAAAACAATCCATGCTTCTGTGTTATTCCTGCATTTGTTTTAAATATTTTTAACTTCATTTCAGGTTGCTTTTAATAGAACAGTCATGTTAACTAAACCATGTCTTTAATCCGAGATTTTTAATAAATGCTATTGACTATTTCAAAGATCATCGTCACTGATTTTTCAATCAAACTAAAGATACTACTAACATAAATTTCAGTAGTTTGAATCGGTATCTTGAATTAACTTTGGTTAGTTAAATCTTTTTGGTCGTGTTAGTATAACGAAGTACACTGGCTGTTGTGCAACTTCTTGGTAAAATAAACAATACTGGATGTTCCATGATAATTTTACTTATTTGTTATGTGTAGATTATTTAATTGTAAACGAGTTATTACTACCATGTGGATCGTTGGAAAACTGTCATTGTGGGATTTATCATTTCTCTGGAAATGTAGTTTACCGCTCATGTATTGACTTGATCTTTGTCCATAAATGTTTTTGTTCTTTGTTGACCGTTCCATCTGTGTAAACGGTTTTTGATACACAACACACTTGTTAGTATATATTTAGTCAAGATTACAAATGGATAGCCATTAACAAGAATATTTCTATGATTGGTTGCATTGACCCTCATCAAATGTTTACCAGAATACACATATATCTAGATTTTTCTTCAGGTTTGTGCTTCAAACGAAATTATTTCCGAAAGTGCCACAAGTATTAAGGAATAGAACTTAGGGTGTTATTGTATCACAGTATATGGTTCTGTGTGCAAACAAGCGTACAGGTCTTAATTTTATAAACAGGATATTGTCAATTGTTTGTTGACTTTGTTGCCATAACTATTACTCCCATATTGTTAAAATACTAGAAAGCGAAAGATTTTGATTCATGTTATATCTTCTTTTGCTAGAAAAAATCATCGAGAAAAAAGTTCTTCTTGGTCAACAACAGCTCATGAACGTCATACTCGAGATGATTTTTATGGCAGTGGATCATTTAAATCTGGAACTATGCATAGTGATGTGATTGATAATTCATCTCGACCGAGACCGCCTCGTTTCGGAAATTCGACCAATAACAAAGATACCAATGGTATCCGACAAAATTACGCCTCTAGGAATTATCCTGTAAAACATTCACACAATAAAACAAATGTACATGACTCCAAACTACATTGGTCTAAAAGTGGTAACACAAGAAATTTTCGCCCACCAGTTACCTCTTCAAGTCGATCACCTGTTGATAGAGTTCGAAAACCGATTGGATCATCAAATGATCATCGTCGTCATCATCATCAAAATACACGTAAAGGACAAACAGATATTGTTTGGGAACCTGGCCCTAAGAGTATGAAAAAATTGAATAATAATTATTCAACTGGAGTATCCAGTTCTAAAGCACTTTTGAAAACACCTGAGACAACTTCACGGCGTGTTGATCATCATCACCATCATCATCATCATCATAGTCAACATGAATCGTCTCGAGACTCGGAATCCCATAATTCTGATTCTTCTTCAAGTAGCTCATCAGTAAGTCAATCAGTTGTTTAAATTATTGGTCATTACTAAATCTCTTAAATGCCATTTCATTATTATGTATGCATACGTGTCTGTTAAATCTTGGAAATTAGATTAATGAATACATTGCATGAAAAATGCATTAACAAACAAGTAGTGAGTACACTCCACATACATACATACATACATACTAATTTTAAAATTGGTTTATTCTTCTTGAAAGTTGTATACCCGGAGTTTATCATCCTCATCCTCGTCATACACTTAACACGTATCTATCTATCTATCTCTGTCTCAGTTTCAAGTATAAGATCTGTGTCTTTCAATGCAGAACTAATGATAAATAACTGATTACTTTTATTGCATCCAAGTTTTGCTGACCGAGAAAGCGTTTTGTTTTTTTTTTGTCCTTCAACAGTTGTGATTTTTTCTTTGTTTTTTGTTGTTGTTGTTGTTTCTTCAACTAATCAATCGACCCTATTTTACTGGTTAAAAAGTAAATATCAACATAGTCTTTATGGAGTAAAATGTACATGAGCTCTCCCTGACGGGGTGCATACATTAACTACAAGTTAATTTTTCAATAATTTCACTGTTTATGCAAGACATTGATCATTTCTCATTAATAATAATACACACAGTTCTACAAAGTATCCTACAATTTTTATTGTGTATATGCTTGTTCTTTTTTCTTCAAGTTTTTACTAAGATGATTACATAATAATAATTTGTTCAAATAAAACTAAATTCGACTTCATAGTATTGTCATTGTTACCAATAATAATGATAATAATAATAATAATCATAGTAATAATCGATTACTTACCTATCATTTGACCAATCTTCTTGGATTTTCTTTCCTGTCTGGTCTAATAACACCCAATTGATTATTGTTCACCCTCTTTCGGTATGTGCTAATATCTTCTATAATAAAACAATTTCTTCTCTTCATCAGCATCGTTATTGAATTCTTATTAGTGGAATTGTATGCAGTCCTTTTTTTCCCTATGGCTTAACTTGTATAGTAGTAGTACTATTGTTTCAGTGATATACTTGGTGCTTGCCTGCTTGTATGCTGAACAATTTTGTGCTTATTTTTATTCGCAGTGAATTGTGTGGGCAAATAAATGAATTAGATTGTACACAGTTTTCTCCTAATTGTTTAACTCTACTAACACCCACGGTTTATAAGAACGAAAAAATATGATAAGTGGGTTAGTTAGTTTGTGTATTTTTCAACTTTCCATGAAACTGTTTTACTGACTTTGTTCATGTGCATGTGTATGTACTTGTGTGTGTTTGTGTGTGTAAAACATGTATTAATAATAGTAATAGAATGTTTGGTTTGATTTGTCCGAATTTTGTGTATGTACACTTGGAGTGTGCGCGTTTCTTTCCACTTTTCTGCGTGTGTCTAGAAAAAAAGCACTATACTTCTACTACCATCAAGCAAAACTATCTTTTTCGATCTGATTGACGGCAGTAATTTGGGACTTGTTATCTAACAACAACCCATTCTTATGTGATAACTTATTTAGTTTTAAAATTTATTTACCCTATTGCGCACACCTTCGTTTGATATATATAATATTTCATCATCAACAGTTCATTTGGTTATATAAGTTTTTTGTGGATTTTCAAATAACACATTCCGACTGTCGTTAAAAATTGCCTACTTCAATCACTCACTCACTTCTATGTTTACGATTGGTCACATCCATCTCTTTCATCACATCACAATGTCCAAATAGTGTCATTCATTTCAGTGTTGGTGTGTATGACAGTTGAATTTCAAATTTAATATATAAATATAGATATTTTTGACATCAGTTTTTGTTTAAATTCACCTTCCAACTGGGGCAGAAAACAAGTTTCCCGGCCAGACCTAATAACCAAGGTCAGCCATCAGATTCATTCATTCACGATAATACATTTTCATCGGATTTAAATAATAATTACACATTTGATTCCAGTAACAATTTACAACAACGAGAATTAGTGGTAGTTGATTCATCGACCAGTTCTAAACAGTCATCAAATCATCCATCATCCTCTTCTATCACATCGACTGGATTTCCTTCTTTTCTACCAAAAATAACTACAGTTGCTTCTGTAGAATTTTCTAGTGACATTACTCAACCAGTGTGTTTACAACATCTCATACCGAATTGTTATCTTCCTGTTGCAATTGGTACAGCGTCTTCCAATTCGAAAGAAAACAACACTAGGCCATTATTAATAAAACAAACACCTGAATACTCCTTGTACAATAATTCACATATTGAACATTATCAATCTAATTCAGAGAAATTTCAATCAAACTCATTGCATAGCTCTAATTCATGTGTACTAGTAGCGCTGATAAATTTTTCAAAACAATATTCCTTCTATTTTATACCATCAGTGCATTATCATGATTTGCTTATAGTTACCGATTGTATAGTTTATCATTATTGTCAAACAATTAGACATAGTGCTCAATCTATTGTTTTGTCTCATTCTAAACCAAATCCTGTGATAAATTCTACGGAAAATTCATCACAATCCTTTACTAGCCTATCAAATATCTCATCGTTATCAATATCACCAAGTTCAATTACTTCATTGAACACTGACATAACTAATTCCCCTTATCAATTGACATTGATCTCTGGCCAGTTAGGTTACGTTAATTCTCCTAAAACTAATCAAAGTTTAACAATTATGTCTACTTCTTCTACTCGTCCACCAAGGGTTCCTATGAATCCAAATTTAACATCTTCTGTTCGCGGTACTGGTAATGCTCATATTAATGATGGTTTAAGCCGATTACGCGTTGGAAGTGCAGCATCCAGAGAGTCGTCATATTCTCCACCAGCTGACAGAAAACCTGCCACTACAAGACGCACAATCAAACCTACATATGGTGTCAAAGTTGATGAGGTGAATGCAGCGTTGCTGCGTAAACTTGAGCAAGCTACCTCAAGTTTTAGTCATCCAGATTTTGAAAATGATACTGGTGGGGCATCGTCAGACAATGATGTATTTGACACAGAAGATGATGAATGTGCAATGAAACCTGATGGAAGCATCATTTTGTTGGCCACTTCATCATGTTTATTGTCTCCAGGATCACCAGCTTATGGAAATGAAGTGGGTTCTGGAGATCTATTGCCTACATCATCTTCTTCAGTCAAATCTCCTGTAAATCAATTACTTAAGGCACTTACTTCTGGCAGTCGATTAGTTACATTGAAGCCTATTTCTAAACATGAACTACATAGAAAACATGTACCAACAGTAAATACAGCCACTCAAACAAATGATGTTCAACTTGTTTGTCAACGATGTTCAAACTATTTCTCTTTGGATACGGAGCAGGCTCCTTCATCATCTACTTGTGTAACTACTAGGCGTGATGAAAATCAACAGCTATCATCTTTGTATAAACTGAGTTTATTCACTTGTGTCATTGAATATATGCCTTACCTGATACCATTATCTCGTGGTGTTCCATTAAGACGTATGCGTTCTACAACAACCAGTAATGCCTCACAAGTTTTCGGTGCAAATTCATCTAGATTTCGTTGGCCAATAGACGGTGAACTGGTGGATTGTACTGAAACTTTGCCAGATCATCCTGTAGCTGTTTTCACTGTTTGTATTGTTTGTGATGGATATACTGCAACAAGTGCTAGATTTACTAAGAGAGTAGAGTATTCAAATCCTCCATGCAAAGCATCAGTTATTGTTTGTGGTCCACTTACAGTGAAATCATGTTCTAACATAAAATCAACAGGACATTATTTAACAAAGGCAGATAATTTCAATAATACAACATATAATAATAATAATAATAATAGTAATAGTAATAAAGGTAATAATCTACACAATGGATTAAAGAAAAACTTTTTAGATTCTACAAACAATGAAATTGATGAAGATGAAAATAATAATAAACTCAATGACAATAATGAAGATGATGATTCTGAATGTGAAACTGTCGGTCGACGTCTTCGACGACAACTTCGTCGTACACAAAAAACACAAGAGATTAATGCAGCTACTGTAGCTTGTGCAATGCGACAAAATGCAATGATGGATGGATCTGTGGCATGTCAACAACAAGGCAATCATGCAATGAATACTACTGTCAATGATAATAACAGTAATGCTAATAATAATATTAGTAGTAATAATAATAATGCTGGTGCTATTAATGGTAACGGCATTGGTAATAATAATAACAATATCAATAAATTGATTAGTGATAATGATTCGTTGACAAATAACAGTCAAGATCAAGCTGTGTCCAGATTAGCTGTTGCCAGACAACGTGCCAAACGATTTATTGAACTTAGAAAACTTAGTGTTACTGAAAGTTTGAATGAGAATTTATTAGTAAGACAAGAGCCTGAGGTGAATTTATTTATTTATTGATTGAATTAGTTTTTTTTTTCGAATTATTTCAGTTTTTTTTCTATTTAAAAAAAAATGGTCATGTTTTTCTTGGTTTTCTTGTATCATATAACTAGTTTGTCATGTTAACTTTTCAGTCTAAAGTGTATGTAGTGACAATTTGTTAAGCAAGTTATGATTTGTACACGTTTCATCAAGTAGTTTATCATTGTTATCTGCATAGGATAAACAGGATCGATTTACAAAGTGCATTCATTGCTTCGGTGTTTCGTCGTCATTAGTCAACTATTACTGATATACATTTTAATCATCATTTTACTTTGTTGTTGTATATGGAAATAATTTTTTTCTATATACTCATCTTAATGTTGTACTTCATCACTTGTGAATCATCATTTGTTCCTTTGAATGTTCACCATCAAAATCAATGAGAAGCCAGGAAGAAGCCAGAAAATAAAAGAAGGCCGAACGCCTAAAATTTATACGAGAGAGATGTGGTTTGAATGAAAGCAAACAAGAAATTTATTTAAAAAGCGTGTTTTTTTCCATCCTTGTGAAGTGAGAAGATGATGGGTTAATCATCATTATTAATGCATATTAATTATTAGACTACCCAGTTTACTCTGTCTACTTTGGTTTGCACAATTTTATTACACAAAGTAATGACTAAAAAAACCGTTCAATTACATAAAACATGTGTGTTTGCTTGGATGAGTTTTTGATCTTGTAACGTTCGAAAATATTCAGTTTTTTTATCAAGTACTTGTAAGTTATTAAGAGTTTCTACAGACATAATGTTTTGAAAGCTAAAATTAAAACATCGCTTTTCTTTATGTAATTAATATCTTATGTGTTTTGAATTTATTTTTTCGCAATTAACCTTAAATTTAACGAGTCACACTAACCAACAAGTATGAAAATTATAATCAAACACTTGGAATTCATGAATCGTTGGTTATATATTTGTTATGAATATTATTGGTTTTGTTCATGCTGTTGTTCTGTCTGGAACTATTATTCTGTCACACTTTAACTTTCATGAGAAATGTGACAGTTTACATTAATGATTAAACATTGAGACGATGATGATAACTTTAAATAGTTGATGAGAAATACAATAAACCTACGTTTTCAAATGGCTCATAAGTATAGTGCTAATCCTAGAATATTATTACACTCCATTGTACTTGTATATTTGAGTTCAATCATTTTCCAACTGTTTTACTTAATCAAATATGATGAACTGAATATTGACTTTAATATTTTTATTTTATTTTTGTAGTCTCCTGAAGAAGATGACGATGAAGTTGTAGATGATGCTGACGGTCATCTAATTTATAGTATTGGTGATCGTTTGTTAAATCGATGTAAGTGTTGAAATTACACGCGTTGGATGTATTCTACTTCTTTTGTTTTTTGAATTAGTACATTTTTTTTAACTAGATCTACACTTGTGTATATTATATCTTGTTGACTAAAGACAGTTTCATGATTCGTAAAGAAGATTTGTTCAGATCTTAATGTCAAGGATGAGAATATTACAAACTGATCTTAGCTAGACTAATATCGTAAACCTTCGTAACGCTTTTCGGCCGTTTTGTTGTAGTATAAGAGTCAGCAGCATGCATTTTTATGGACGCGGACACGGGAGTCAAACTCAGGATCTTTAGTATCGCGCATGAATGCCTAATAATCTTTAAGCCATTCAGTCGACATCAAATGGTGTACATGTATAACTTTAATTATTTCCTGATTTTGTGCAAACTTCATCGATTGCCTATGGTGGATAAACTGTCTCACACACAAGGGTTGAACTCCACTGGTCACGGCCTCTCTCACTTGCACTCCATGAGTATTTCTTGGTCTATTTTGTGTCGTAGTTCAATTATATTAACAGTCTAACTTATAGATGTATTTAGAATGGTGGCTTTGCAGTTAAGACACTAGATTTTTAACCAATAAATCCCAGATTCCAATTTTCACCTATTTCGCTTCAAGCAGTTGGTTGTGGTATTATAACCTTCACACATAGAATGTGTGGCTCAAACAATTCCAGTTCCATTGTAGTTTGAGATACCTAACAGACTGCTGGGTTTTTACTGAATCCATCCTATTTCTGCGTGCACTGTTGTTGCTGCTAGCTTTTCAACGTTTCTAATGATTAATGTACTGTAAAACTAACACACGTATATGCGTATGTGTATACATTTCCGCTATGCGAAGGTATATGATGGGTTTGAACAAAATTTTTTTCAGATTGATATAACTTAAAATGATTCTTATTTATTATTCAAATTTTAGTCAGTCAATCCGTTGTTTACATCATAAAAATTTGTTTCAATTCACAATGACTAAATTATTATTATTATTATTATTATTATTTACGGTACATTTCTCTTTTTTTTTTCAATCTTCAATTTTTAAAAAAAAGCCATTAGGTAATTCAACTAAACAAAAAAAAGATAATTTATGAGCATTAAGTGATTTGTTTGTTCGTCTTAATTTACATTCTCATCTTTCTTCCGCTCTGTCTGTCATTCTAGCACAATATATTAATTATATGACATCCATTATGCAATGTTCACAGACATATTGCCCTTTTACAATCATTATGCATTTTCTCATGTGTGTACACTTCAAAGAGAAAAATGATTTATTAGGAGTGAATCCATTTATAACAAAGTTTTCATTTTTTTGTAGACTAAGTGCATTAAAAAAAAGTTTTTCTGACATCAGATTATCTTGAGGAGTTTGTTTAAAAGTATTTTTTAGAGCCTTCGTAGACAAATCTCAGTAATTTTGATGTTGTGAGGATGGTTAACGCATATATGTATTTATATGTTTATCAGAAATATAGTTAGTTCACTACACAAAATAATACTTTTGTGTCTGAGCTGAGATATTTACTACCTGTGTACTCAAATCAAAAATGATTTTGTTAGGCGACTATATATATCCTGAGCTTTTTTATTGAAAGATATAATCCCACAGAGTAGTACGGAATGTCAGGTGATATCCAGTGACTGAAAATAAGTCTACGCCATTCATACGCACCACTTTTTCACGATCAGGGTTCTCCAGTTCCTGTAGGTTGAGTCTAATGTTTGTATCAGACCTTTGCTTTTCTTCATCTCACTTTTGTAAAAGTACTTTTAACGCTTAAAAATTTGTCAGTAAAAGTTCCTTAGCAGAATCTGTAGACGCTTAGTCAAATCAAAGTATTTCAAGTGGGAAAAATAAACTGTCTCCATCCTTGGTCATATGACGACATTTGGATACATCAGTATACTACTGATCACTACAAAAACAGTATTTTGTTAAAAGCTTATTTACACTCTAATTTATCTACATTTATTGTTAAGAATAATTTCATTACTCGTTGTACTTAGTCATTTGCTTAAACTAGCTAAATTTTGTTTAAGTAGTTACTTATTAAAGATTGTACACTTGATTGGTCTTATTACTTTGTCAATACAGCAGTTGATCGAGTGAGCAAATGAGAGATCTATTATGGGAATGAGTTAATTTATGACTGGAGAGAAGAGTCGTATACTTTAGTTAAGACTCTTGTTTCTTAATGAACGTTGTTATGTGTTTCTATTGATTGTTTGCGTTTCCACGTGCTTGAATTTATGTCTGGATGATGGCTAAGATATGCGTAACTTTCAACTTCTAGGTTTCATGTTAGAATCCTACTTCACTTAACTTTCTTTTGGCAGTCAGATAATATCGTTATTCCTCATACACAAAGTGTTGTAACTCAAAGCTGACTACCAAAATCTATACTTGAAATTTCTTATTGCCGTTTTTCTGCTTGATGTGTGATATATTCAAGACTGAGTTTTTTTTTATCCACTTCCTATTGGTAGTGCATATCTGTATCTCACAATTGGAAAATAATAATAAAAATATTGACTTATTTGTCATGATTTTCTTTTTTTTTTTCTTTTTCCCCATCATAATCAGATGAAATTGTTAAGACACTTGGTGAAGGTACATTTGGTAAAGTTGTTGAATGTAAAGATCATGTAGAGTAAGTTTAATGATTGTTTATTAATTCAGAAAAAAAATTATCTGTAATTGTCGATTTTCTATTTTTAAAGAAGATCGTATATATATATATATATATATATATATATATATATATAATGTTATTGCTCACGTACATTGTTTTACTTAAGGCGTGTACTTATATGTAATGTATAGTTACATTTTCATACGTACGTACGTACCTCGACCAAATCGTTAAAGTGAAAGAAATTCATCTAAGCCATAGTTGATAACTTCGTCAAGGACCGCTAATAAAAATTTTCTTTTAATTTTATCATTGTCGTTTTTGTCGTCTCTTTTTTATTTATCAGCAAATGTTTACACATCTTTTGGTTATTTATATCGATAATGTAGTCATCAGTTGTTGTTTCACTTAGTAATTTTTCTACATCTCTATTGATCCATTATGAATTAGTTGGGAATGGACAGTAAATGTAGTGTGTTTAATTTAATCTTATGATCGGTGTGATAGTCGAATGTTTGTAATCTGCCTCCGCTCAATATGGGGTTTATTGATGTTGATTATTCATAATTTTCACAATTTCTCCATCATAAATTATGTATCCTACAGTCGATTGTTTTTAGTTCGATCCAATTAATCGATCAATAGCAACATAGAACTTCATACGTGCGTACGTACCTTAGTTCATGTAGCCATACCACATTAACACAGAGATGTACTTGTCAATTCAAATCCAATAGTAGTAGAGGTAGTAAAAGAATTAGCAGTATTCGGAGAGGTTAGGATTAAAAGATATTATTCAAGAAGTAGAATCTAGTGAAATAGACTTAAAAAGGATAAGGATAAAGTGATGAAGAATTAAAAAGTTTAGGATTTGAGAGAACATAAAGAATGAATACACCTGCGCCATTGCAAACGGTTTTGAGCCATGTCATTCAAGGTCTCTAACCATCGATAATTATCATCTCGCGGACCCCGACCAGGTAGTCGACACCTACCGACATGACTCAGTCCAGTTGTCAATGACTTCATGGATTTGTGTCATGTTTTGGTCTGGCCGCCTCTAGCTTTTTTCCAACCTATTCCTACACTGCAAAATATAGCTCGACGAGGCAGTCGGTGGTTAGGCATACGCAGCACATGTCCTAACCACCTCAACTGATGAAGTTTCACCACTTCATCTACTGATCTGCCATTCTTACCTAGCACCCGTTTCCTAATAACAGCGTTGCTCACTTTTTTTTCGATGATAAAAGGAATCCATTAATATGAACATTCATTGCCAATTCTTATCTTTATACTTATTCTCTTGTATAGAAATCGTAGAATTGCTTTGAAAATTATCAAAAATGTCGATAAATATCGTGAAGCTGCAATGCTTGAAATCAATGTTTTAAATTTCTTAAATGAACGTAGTGCAAATGTTGAACAGTAAGTAAATATCTGCTTATTATTATTACACTATCATTATTACTACTATTTTTTTAACTGTAGAAAATAAGGTTAATTGAGTACATCTTATTTATAAATAATCTCAATCACAAGTTGTTGTTTTTTACAAGTACCAATTTTATACAATCCTAAGCACATATGTTCTCAATAATATTTACTAATTGAAATTCAATAAAATAAATTAATTTCTAAATGAGACTGTTAATCATTTACAAATGCGTGTTTGTTTATTTTAATATGAAATAACAGTCTTTCAGTCTCCCACAATGTTCGAACGTTTTATGTACTGTAAAAGAATGGTTGCTCTGATTGTCAAAAGGGGCATCGACCTCGTGACCTCCCGAACGAACTCGGCTTTCATCATGAGACGTTATAATTCTTCTGAAAGAAGAACTTTTAACTTCCAGGACAGAGTTAAAATGGTTTGAATTATATTTTCTGGTTAGCGTTTTTTTATCGAGTTAATTTTTTTGTGGGGCGGGTTCGCCAATCCCATGCCCAATACTCCTACATTATTCGGGTTTTGGACCGGCAGTAGCGCCAAAGGGTTCTATAGTTAATTCCTCTCCTGCAATTGCGATATGAAAAAAAGAGTTCTGGGAAAAATACTCATGCTAGACTAAGTTATTTTTCACGCTATTTCAACATGCATGATTTGTAAGACAATTTATTTTAATTATGAACAAGAATATCTTTAAAAATCATTTAGCCAAATATGTATTATGATAGGTGTAAGATTGAGAAGCTGCTAATTTATCAAATTCCTACTGTTGTATGTATTTGAGCAGATAGTATCATTTACAAGGTTTTGTCATCATTAGAATCTATGGCTCGCAATGAAATCCAAGTTCACTGAGTTCCTGATTTCCATCCATTATGAACATCAAACACTGGACAGCTAGAAAGTCCTACGCATAGCATGATATCATTCATTTCTGAATCCGACATTTTTATTACAGCTTCCTTCCATTATACAATAATCGATTTATGATGTTTGACGGCACCATCCATCAATCAGTCACTGAACCCTCGATTCATCTCTAAATCGAAATGCAATTGTTTAAACTACAACCACACACAACATTGTATGCCTTTTTTTTCTCGATTCAATAAATTTATCCGAAAATTTTTATGATTGCCATTTTTTTTTATATCAAGATAATTTTTTAATTTCATTTATATTGCTTAGCTAATTTACAAATAATCGGTGTTGATTTTATCGTTATGCTTTGTTAATAATAAACTCTCTTACACATACATTCACATTCATGTCTCCTGTGTGGTAAACGTAATATATATAAGAAAACATAGCACACATTTCTTCCTCACTGTATGTGGCATTTTTTTTCTTTGTTTATGATACTTGCAACTGTATGTATGTATAGTTGTTAGCTGCAGGTCTTCAGTAAACTTGCTGTCCATAGTTGAAGACAACTAATGTGTATTGTTTAAATGTTGACTGATATACACAGTTACTATTACCACTACTACTACTAACTATTTCTTTAATCATTTAGTATTATTATGCTTATAATTAGAAATTAAACAATTCATGTTAAGGTTTGTTTTAGTTGCACTGTATTTCAACTTTCTCTTCTCCTCTACTATATTTTTCTTGTTTTGTTTTTCTCTCTCGCTCTCTCTCTTTCTTTTCTGACAGTTTATGTGTAACCCTATTGGATTGGTTTGATTATCATGGACATATTTGTTTGGCATTTGATATACTTGGATTATCGGTTTTTGATTTTTTGGTAAGTAAACATTGATATATTTTGAATGCTTCTCTCTCTCTCTCTCTCTCTCTCTCTATATATATATATATATATATATATATATATATATATATATATATATATATATATATACGATGATAATCGACTGAGAAAATGGAGGTTGGGGGGATGGAAATGATCTCTTCTCTGGTGTAAGTATTGTGGTGGTGTTTGGTTCTCTGAGCTGGATGTTTTGGTTGTGGAGCTTTCATTGTTCTTCTTCTGAACAACATCATCAGCACAAACTTCAGATAGAAGTTTGAACGAAACACCACCACAATCATCCACCTGAGCTACAAGTTTTCTCCACCATCTGGTGTAAGTATGAAACTACTATCATCACCATTGTCAATCTTTTGATCTTATTGTTTTATTCTTGCTACTTACTGTTCATGTGATGATTAACATTTTCTGTTTCCTTGCTGGTTTGTTTGTTTCATTTATTTTCAATTCGAATAGCGGGTTCATTTTATATTTTCGTTATACAAAAATTTTGTACATTTTCTTTTTGTCATGTCAAATTCTGTATTCATTATTATTATTATTATTATTATTATTATTATCATTCAAAACAGTATCATTCGTTGATAAACATAATGCTATCACAGTAATGATAATGATATTAGTGATATGTGTGTGTGTGTGTTTGTGTATGATGGTTACTATTCATAGTGTCATTTTTTTAAAAATCAACTTGAAACTAATAATTTGTGTATGCGTGTGTGTGTGTACATGTGTGTATGTGGGCATGCACTATTTTTCACTATATTTAGTAACTTTATTTGTGTGGAATACAATTTAATGTTTGTTGTATTGTTTGACCTAGAGAGAGAGAGAAACAATCTGTGTTTTTTTTATTTGGTTTTTAAAAATGAAATTCTTAATTATCAGAAATGAAAAGAAAACAGTTGTTTCAGTGAAATAAATGATAGCTAGCAGCTACCTACTATTCCTTGTTTCGATTTGATCAATTCTTGGTTGCTTGCTTGCTTTTTTACCTGACTCCTTTCATATAATTGAAATAGCAAATTATTCTATCAGAAAAATAATTTTTAGTCCGTCCTGATGTGAGTAAGATGCGTGGTTCCGAAATTTTATACCAGTACACACTTTCAGCCACTTGAGAAACAAAACAGAAAAGGAGAAAGGTGATTTATTCGGCTAAAAAAATACCTATCCGTTAGGAAAGCAAGCCCATCATTGATTCTTTTTTTCTCATCCACTGAAAATATAAAGCTAGTTCTTTGACAATCATACAGTTTCTGATTAACTCGATGTGTAAATCAGATCAAGCTTTTCATTACGAAACGACTATCCATTGCTTTCAGACTTCTAATGGTGGCCTGATTTTAAAATAAAAAATTCAACAGTATAAATATAAATTATAGTCAGTTTCTCATTGAGACATGTATAATTATCTCGAGTATATCTTCTTCTATAGAGTAGACAAGTAAGCGCTGGCAATTTTAACCAGTTGACATCATTAAAAAGAAGAATGATTGTGTAGTGAACGAGAACACAGGTGGGGCAACCGGATTGTATTTAACGAAAATTACAGCGTTACTCAGTAAAATCGGAAAACCATATCGTAAATTGTTAATTTGCAAAATATCAGTTCATCATATCGAACTGGAGCGTTCCTGTTGCAAACAACATCAGTCCATTGTCACTATTCATGATGCGTTTCATACAAATTCCATTGTGTTCTTCTAACTCTTCCTTTCTTGATCTTCCCCCATCTTCTGCTGCCAGACATTACGTTGACACTCACGTCATATACTACTTATAAGTAGTTCACACCACAAATGTACAGTTTAGTAAGATTTAACTAACGAGAAATAATTACACAAAACCACTGTTGTATTGTTATGCCTACCAGGAATCTCATACTAGTTTACATTACTTACCATTATCTAAATCACTTATGCTCAAGTAGACCTGTAGTTTAGACAATGGCAAGAAAAAAACCATATACACTACTGAATTAACAAAATATGGCAGTCGTATGAAATGATTCACTGTCTAGTAATCTGGTTGTAGTTGTTGTAACAGCATTACGACTGTACATTGATTGAACTAAATTTTTAGGTTTTTACTCTCATTTTTCTATAGATTGATAAATAATTGAGGCTACTATCAGTGTATATGTGTATGTGTGTGTGTGTGTCCCCTCAATTCAACGTACACACTGCATACACATAATCCTATCTATACTGACACTTCACATTCATTTTTGTTATTGCCATTCACATTATACATTGATTCTTCTTGGTTCTACTGACGATCGTAAATAAAAAAAACACTTGTCATTGCCTACAATTTGCTACATTCATTTATTGATCCTAGTGCTTGCACACACGTGTAAGCACATACATTTCTATCGCCTACTTTCTTTGTCGATATAAAACAATTTGTCCAACCAACCAATCAATGACAGTATGTTGCATTGATTTATTTTGTATAAGTGTTCTTTTTCTTAAACACACACACTGTGTTTTTTTGTACTACTACTTCGGTGTACATATATATATATGTATATATGTGTGTGTACCGATTGATGATGCCATCCATGTTCAGCCAATTTTTTCCGGTCACTTTCTTCACTCTTGATATGTATGTATGTATGTATGCTTATCGCATATAAGAAAAAGTTTCTAAATTTTTCTACAAAACACTTTAATATTGTGAATATTTTTAGTATTTTTATTAATGTGTGAAAAATAGATTTATTAGATACAGTTTTCATTTTTTAGGTCTAATCGATATATATATATATATATATATATATATATATATATATATATATATATGGTGTCCACCTCTTTAGATACATTCATTGTTTATCTTCGCTCACATTTTAATCTAAATTCCTCAGAACCTTTCTTCTATTTTTGAATTGATTTCACTGGGATATGCTTCTTGAATCACATCTTCGATTACCTTCGATACTTCTACCTCTACTACTATGGGACTTAAATTAACAACTTCATCTCTCTCTGCTGTTGTGGTAGGGTAACTTGAAATGATATTCGTACTTATCAAGTTCTACGTTGTAAATAACTGGCTGGGACAACCGAGTTAGTAATCGAGCATTAGGTAAGGATAGCAGATCAGTAGATGATGTATTGAAACTTCATCAGTTGATGTGGTTGGGACATGTCTTAAGTATGCCTAACCACCGACTGCCTTGACGAGCGATGTTTTGCGATGTCGGAATAGGTTGGAAGAAAGCTAGGGGCTGCTACGGGGCAGAAATCCATGAAGTCACTGACAACTAAACTGAGTCATGTTGGTAAGTGTCAACTACCTAGTTTTCGGTTCACGAGACGATAGTAATCAATGGTTAGAGACCCTAAATGACATCGCTTAAAGCCGTTTTGAAATGGTGCAGGTGCATCCACTCACTGTATTCTCTCAAATTATAACCTAAATTCCTCATTATCTCTATCTTTCTAAATTTACCTCACTGAATTATACTTCTTGAAGAGCATCTTCGAACCCTAATCTCTCCGATTTCTGCTAATACCTTTAGTATTATGGGATCTGAAGTGACAATAGCGTCTCTGTGCTAATGTGGTATGGCAACTTGAACTAATAGAAGTGATAATTCACCCTTTCTCTGTATCTTTAAAATATTTATCTTTTCTATCTAACTATTGTTGTTATTCAATTTAGTTTATTATGAAATGTTGGATGTTGGTTGACATTATCAATTTATTGATCAAACTGTTACAACTTCTTTTCCTTTTTTTAGTTAACTTTATTAATTTATTCTTGAGCTGTGCTTCACATTGTAACTTTGTTTACACAATTTTCAGAAGCGTTCGTAATAGCATTAGTCATATCTGTTACTCGGCACCTGCAAAGCTCTATGGAATACAGTAAAAATTCAATCTAATCAATTTGTGTTTGCATTTCAGTTTTCAACCTTGTAAGCTACACACTCCTCGACTGTTATTCCAGTTATCATTAAAGGTTTTTATTACTGGTTACTTGTTTAACTAACTAAAGTACTGAGTCAGTATGTAGAACTAATCCTCGCAGATTAGTCTCAATCAGTTAATTATTCCAGTTTGATACGAAATGGTATATATTTTGTGAAATGATTATACTATTACTACTAGCAAGAATGAAATGTTTGATTATCATTGATACTATAAATTCCTATCATTTTGTATTCATTGATTTTATATAGAAAGAAAATAATTATGTTGGTTATCCAATGGAACATGTTCGTCATATCTCTTATCAATTATGTTATGCTGTCCGATTTTTACATGATAATCAATTAACGCATACAGATTTAAAACCAGAAAATATTTTATTTGTTGATTCCGATTATATTTCTGTGCATAATAGAAAAAAACGTCGACATGAACGTATGGTAAAATGTTCCGATATACGTTTAATTGATTTCGGTTCAGCAACATTTGACTATGATCATCATTCAACTATTGTTTCGACAAGACATTATCGTGCACCTGAAGTGATTCTTGGTTAGTTATAATACAAATCCGATAATAATAATAATTATTATTATTTATTATTCAATCCCCCCTATTTATCATTTGAAAAATAAGAAGAGTTTATCATTATGAATAAATATTGATATGAATGATTCATTACTCTATAGAAGTAGGCTATCTGGTTGTGGTGTGCGAGACGATAGTAGCCCATGGTTATTATAGACCTTGAAGGACATAGCTCATAATCGTTTACAGTGTCGCAAGTGCATCCACTCTTTGTGATCTCTCAAATTCTAATCTGCTGAATTCCTTTCCACCTCTGCCTTCCTCTTCCTAAACTTATCTCACTGAACTGTACTTCTCAAATCACATCTTCGAGCCTTAATCTTCTCCAGAACCGCTAATAATTCCACTATCTCTACGACTATGGGATTTGAACTGCCAGTTGCATTTCTGTGTTGATGTAGTATGACAACCTGAACTTATGTACCCATGTACGAAGTTCTACGTTGTAAATGACTGACTTATTGACTGTGCTTAGAAATGTTGACACATTTTTTCTAGAATCTTTTTTCCTAACTTGTTGTTGTAACACTTTTTTTCACCTTCACTCCATAAATAACAGAAACAAAAGTTGTCATTTCGATTCACTCATTAACGTACTATCGATCAGTTAGTAGTTTATCAATTTTTTTTACTTCAAATATCATAGAAAAATAACATTTTCGAATAGAATTCCATCTTGTCAAACATGTTTATGTGATTGAGATTACAATACTGCGCATCATTTATTTCACTGCTGGCCACAATCCATTTTAATTACGATGAAATTCCTTTTATTTAGGCAACGTACACACGGAGTCGATCACAAAGCCTTAATAATGAATAATGGGAATATAATTTAAGCTTTTTTTTAATAATTAGTAGAGTTCACACTGTTTGTTTTTTGTTTCAGAGAAAACTCAATACTTTAAAGTTTAAGTACTTTTTATACTGATTGATATATATATATATATTTTTTTCTTCATTCAACAGAATTAGGTTGGTCTCAACCATGTGATGTTTGGTCAATTGGATGTATCATGTTTGAATTGTATACAGGTTATACACTTTTCCAGGTAAGTTCCTTTGTTCAGTGTTTTTCTCAAACAAAAATTTTGTGACGTTTTTTTTGTTCTCAAAGAAAACTTAATAATAAACTAACTACCTTACTAATAGGATGACAATCAGTTAAAGCTACAAATCTTCATCAAATTAGGTTAGCAACAAACAATGCAGAACTTCGTATGTGTAAATACATCAATCCAAGTTGCCATACCACATATTAACACAAAGAGATGGAATTGTCAATTCAATTCCCATATTGGAAGAGGTAATAGAAGTATTAACAGTAATGGAGAAAATTAGGGAGTAAAGTCATGAAGAATTCTGTAGATTAGTATTTCAGAGGAGATGTATCTGCATTATTGCAAGCGATTCTGAGCCATGTCCTTCAAAGTCTCTAACCATCGTTCATCTCAACCAGATAGCGTATGCTTACTGACATGGCACACTCCAGGAAATCGTAAGTAACTGAAATATGCTTGAGACTGGTCACACATGTCCTTGTTAAGGGAAGTTTTGTCGTGTAAGCTCTGCCTTACTTCTGGAGACAGAAATGCATGGGATAAGGTGAGGAGAGAGATTTTTAGATTCAACCTTTTCTAACCCCGTGCATCCGTTGTGAGAAGGCAGCATCAGTGCAGATGCTGGTTGTCTGTGGGAAACGACTTACTGCTGTCGCACCCCTCTACAGTCAGCAGTACGACTTCGCCCTCAGACTACTGCCTTTAGTCTCACCGCCTGGCATTGTAGAACATGAAGGGACGTGTATTCCAGATTACTTTGGTCATCACAATCTGCAAGCTGTTTTATAGTTTACGTCACTAATTCATCTTAGTTGACTACCTATTGAAAACCAGACAACATTAGACAGCTGTTTCATCCTACTGTGAAGTTTCTCATCAGTTCCTCTTGACTATCCCATTTATGAGATCAAACTCTTTCTGAGAACACTTGACCATAGTATTCAATCTGCATTGAATGGTGTACATTTCTAGCGTTATTAATGTTATTTAAACCATAAAATTCAACAATCCCTTTTTACATGACTAAGTTATATAATGTAATCAGTACTTATGATAAGTAGTTTATGCATCCGTCCGCTTGAATAAATGTAGATTTTTGAAGTACTCTTGTCTTGTTTTTTGAATAAGAAATATTTGCATACATGCATATTTAAAAGTTGAGAAAAAAAGTTATTTCTACTTTTGCATTACGGGGTTGTAAAGATTGTTAAGTTACACATTTTTGAAACCATGAATCGATCAATGTTAGGGCGTTCGCGCACAATACCGAAGGTCCTGGGTTCTAATCCTGCGGGGTGCAGGAGTCGTGGATGCGCACTGCTGAGGAGTCCCATACCAGGACGAAACGGGCGTCCAGTGCTTCCAGGTTTCTAATGGTGGTCTGACATTTCTACTTTTATTTAATAATGAAATTTATCTTCATTTTACTGTCCATACATACTGTGATGGTGTTTCATTCTCTGAACTCAAAGAATCATCCACCTAAGCTACAAATTTTCTCCACTATCTCAAAGTTCATACATACATTTGTCATGTATCTAGTTAAAAGACTTATTATTATTTCTCATTGTTTGTTTTTCTCATTTCAGACTCATGATAATCGTGAACATTTAGCTATGATGGAACGTACTTTAGGCCATATTCCTTATCGAATGACTAGAAAGTCACGGTATGTTACTAACATTATTATTATTATTATTATTATTATTATTATTATAATTGGTAGTAGTAGTAGTATCATTTTATATTACGAGTAATTTGAATTCTAAATTTTAAAATATTTCGATATTGTTGAATTCTGTCAAATTATTGCCAAAGATTTCCTTGTTTTACTAGACAACTTCATCATCAACAACAGTTAGTTCATATGGAAGTTGATGATTTCCGCAGTTCAGTGGATCTATCGATTAGACGAATATTGATCTTTTCCGATTGATAAATTCATTTATAATTCGTTTCATTTACTAATCCGTGAAAAATTCAATTAAAATATTCAACAAGTAATAAACAGATAAAGTTAACCAAATCTACTAGTACAACCATTTGTACATTAACACAGTTTACTATGTATATCTCATCAAACTCTGTCACTACTTCATTCTGTTTGTTCCACTTAAATCTAATATAACTCTGACCGTTGTTATATATTATTTCCTCCTTTAAATCGTTTTCTGTTTTATGGACTTCAAATTATCATTAATGCGTGAGACGATGCATCTCTGATGGGTGATTGATTAGTCGACAAAGAAAACTGATAAGTCAGTATTTTGATTCTTGAGCATTTCTAGTATGTTGTTGTTATTGCGAAGGCATCTCGATTTATCATTGAGAAAAGAAAATTACATTTAATAAATGGGGTGGGCCTATAATCATACCGACGACCAGTCATTCATCACACGTAAACAGTGTTTACATCAATACTCATTTTATGTGTGTTTAGAACTGGGTTTTTCTATCATGGACGTTTGGATTGGGATTTTTATAATCAAGAAGGTCGTTATGTTCGTGAAAATTGTCGTCCTTTACTTGTAAGTTATGTATGGGTAGACAAGTGATTATTACCAAACTTATTATACAAAAGAGAAGACGTTTGATATGTATATAACTGCATCGTGTGTTGACATTCAATATTACGATTATCATCAATATTAAAGAATGCTCATCAGATATCTTTTTTTTATGCATGTAACTTTGCATCCCCTCGTCTGGTTCATTGAAACAAATTTTTTTTCTTATTCATTTGCTTGTTTCACTGAATCGCTGCTAAATTATCACTTAACCTAGTGTCTATAATATTACGGTTGGATACTATGTGGGTCAATTCAAAAAAAAAATTCACCATTGCATAATATTTATTACGATAATAATAATTATAATTTTTTCTCTTTCTCTTTTTTGATGATGATGATGAATCATTCCTACCATTTTTTTTAACAATCACAATGCATGCCCACATGTAAAACATATATATCTCGTGTTTTTAGTCGAACCAAATACTTTGATCCATCGGGCAATCTTTTATGGGATGCACAATCACGTGAAGCTAAATATGTTTTGACTCATTGTCGTCCATTTCGGGTAACTTGAATTTTTATTTTTAATTTTTATTTCTCTTTGCTGTTTTATTGCATAAAAACATATCAGTACTTATGCTCGATTTGTTCGGTTATGTGTGTGTGTATGCGTAAGCATTGCATAATGGTTGGTGTTTTACAAACGCATTGCTGAATGTGTTATCTCTGGTTTTTCGGGAGGTAGATTTTTTTTTCGGATTAAGTTGTATATATATATATATATATATATATATATATATATATATATATATATATATATATATATATGTTTAACTATCTTAATAATTCTGTTCATTCAGTATTTTGTTGTGAAGTATCAATAGTTAAAGTTATCATCACTAGCGGCTCTCTCATTGGATTCATTCAATCCGCATGTTTACTTTTCGAGTGACACATAGAACTTCAACGTAAAATTTACCAATGAATCATTTGATTTTATGTGGTATTGAATCTGTAGTGAATAGAACGTGTATTAACGTATGTCTACTTTAACAGATATAAATAACAACTGGTTTAGGCGAATATGTCCAAAGAAAGCTAGATTCGACTAAGTGAAGTTATTCATTACCTTTTAAATTGAAACTTTTAGATAGGTCGGAAATATTTGATTGGCGACTGCTCAGTAAGTCAGTCAGTTACAACGTAGAACTTGGTACATAAGTACATCAGTTAAGGTTGTCATAGTACATTAGCACGGAGACGCAATTGTCAGTTCGAATCTCATAGTGGTAGAGATAGTAGAAGTATTACTGGTAATGGAGAAGATTAGAATTGTGAGATATTATTCAGGAAGTATAATTCAGTGAGATAAGTTTATTATGAGGAAGGTAGAGGTGATGGGGAATTCAGAAGATAAGAATTTCATAGAACACAAAGAATGAATGCACTTGCGACATTGCAGGCAGTTTTGAACCATGTCATTCAGGGTCTCTAACCATCGATTACTATCATCTCGCGGACCACAACCAGGTAGTCGACACCTATCAAAATGACTTAGTCGATGGTTAAGCATGCGTAACACATGTTTCGACCATCTCAGCTGATGAAGTTTCACTACTTCATCCATTGATTTGCCATCCTTACCTAGAAGCCGTTTCCTAACAACAGCATTGCTAACCCACTGGTTCCAGTATATGAGAGCAATGCCTCGGAGACAAATATGATCAGAAACCAGTAACCTAAGAATATCCTTACTTCTTAATGGCCATGTTTCACAGCCATAAAATAAGACAGAGCGAACTTCTGTGTGGTAGACTCGACCTGTGGTTAGCAAACGGATATCTTCGGTCACTATCAGCGCTGATGAGATGTAGACTACCTGGTTGGGGTCCGCGAGACGAAAGTCATCAATGGTTAGAGACCTTGAATGACATGTCTGAAAATCGTTTGCAATGGCACAAGTGCATCCATTCTTTGAGCTCTCTCAAATCCTAATCTTCTGGATTCGTCAGCACCTCTACCTTTGTCTTTCTAACCTTATCTCACTGAAATATACTTCTTGAATAATATCTTCAAACCATAGTCTTCTTCATTACCATTAATACCTCTACTATCTTTATCACTATGGGATTTGATTTGACATTTGCGTCCCTGTGCTAATGTGGTATGGCAACATGAACTTATGTACATACGTACGAAGTTCTACGTTGCAACTGACTGACTGACTGACTGACTGCTGATGAGTCTCCCGATCACTATTTCATGTGCCGACACAAACCAATCTTGAGTCATTATTTTGCATTTTGACGGGGAGAACCGCATCCCGAACATGCTTGCATTGTTGCGTAGGCTAGGTAATCATATCGATTAAAGATGTGTTACCTAGTGTGATCGAATTTGTACTTATGTGTAGTATTTTCTGCTACGACTTTTAATGCTGTAACGACTACTTTGACATATATCCTGATTATTGCCTCATATTGTACCAGTTGTATAATGTGACAATTTGAACACCACCTACACATATTAAACTAGGTTTTATATTGTATATAACTAATTAAGCTCTTCAATCATGTGATTTTTAGATTCACTACTGCACACGTTGATTGTTTAAATAAATATATATTGTAAAGTGACCCTAACCTAGTAGTTTTATTTATTTATCATATTAATCTTGTTGTTGCATTATTCAACAAATCACCTATTCTAATCATGTTTTTCTTTTCTTTTTGTTTTTATATTGTGTTTCTCCATTTTTTTCTGTGTTCCTGTCGCTTTCATTCATTTTCAAGCGTTATTGCAAAGATGAAAGTCAAGATACACTTGATCTATTTGATTTAATGTCAAAAATGTTAGAATATGATCCAGCTGATCGTATACCATTATCTGCAGCACTAACACATCCATTCTTCTTACATTTACCTTCACATCAACGTTTAACTTATACTCATCATCCTTCCGATACACACCTGCTCCAACCTAATGAACGTCGTACATCTGGTTCACGTGGTGGTGGTGGTGGTGGGACAAATAGTCAACAACCATCAACAACAGCGAATAATGGTTCATCATCCTCATCGTCGGTATCCTCCGATGTGAAACGTAATCGATAAAGATCTACATGATAATGTTAATAGTAATAATAATAATAATAATAATAATAATGACAAGTATTTTTTATTGTTTTTTGTCGTTGTTATTAGTAGTTATCAGTTGGGATTATTGTTGCTGTTTTTTTTTATTTTTCACGTACTAAAACACACCATTTTTCTTTCGCAAAACAAAAAATATCAACAAGTACATACTGGAAAATACTACTCTATCCGATTTGTTTTTGTGAATGGATTGTTTTTTTTTCATTGGGGTACACCACACACTGTGTGTAATATTATGCTACAATAAATAAACGTATATTTTGTTTCTCATGTATATAGAGCTTTGTAATAATGTTCAGTGTGTATGCGTGTGTATGACGAGTGCTGGAAGTCTTCATCTTTCAATTCACCGTTCTTGTCATTGTCGTCGTCATCAAAATCGATTTTTCTCCACATCCATCCAATGGTGTTGACTTTTTTTTTGCAATGAAAAATTATAATAACTAGGGCACAACATGTGTGAGGTGTAAACAATGCATACATTAAATTTCACTGTTACCATTATTGTCATCCTGTCAGATATATATATATATATATACATATGTATATCGTTTTCTTCCTCCATGTGTGTATCTGTGTGTGTGTATGCTTGTCTTTCTTCTTCGGTATTTTGTTGCTTGATCAATTACTGCAAGTCTCATGTGTGTAAGTCCATTACTTACTTACTTTTGCGTAAATTTCTTTTCCTATTCCAATACCAAACAATCAATAAAATGGTCATGTTATATCTTGTCATGTTTCGAATTGTTTCACTATTATATTATATATTGTGAAGCCAGCGAGAGAGAGAGAGTGCAAGAGTAAGAAGGATTTTATTTGTTTCAGTGTCTACTTTAAAATGTACAACACAACAACAACATTGAGACTAATGAAAAGCAGTGTGCGCAGTGTGTGTGTGTTCAGTTTGTAGGAATTGTGTTGTTACATATACAACCAGTTTGAGTGGAATTGCTCATGTTTTAACTAAATTGTGGATGGTAGATTCCGGGTTTTTTTGTTTGTTTGTTTGTTTGAATTTCCTTATATTGGCAATAATAATGAAATTACTACTAATAAGACACTTACACTTACACATGTGTTCTACAAAATGTATCAATCATCTCTATCTCAATGTGTTGTTGTTGTTGTTGTTGTTGGTTTTTTTTTCCTGTCAAGATTTTGTTTTTTTTTATATATACAAGTAAAGTATCATTTCAAAAAATAATAAAAAATTAAATGGAAAACAGGTCAGAGATCATTTTGTTAATTAGAAAAATAAGTTGGATTTTTCTTTTCTTTCGCTAATGCGTCTATCTATCTATCTAGATAACAGTTCTTTTCTGCATTAAAATTTATTCCATTCAGTTCTTCTTCTTGTTTTCTGTGTATCTTACTATTTATAAATTTTCTTCCTATTTCACACATCTATCTATATTGTTGCACAACGTGTTTTCTTTTATTGACTAGCTGACTGATGATCACCACCAATGATCGATCAACAATATGTTGTTATTAATAATGCTTCTGTTTTTGTTTAATCTATTCTTGTTTAAAAATGTGTGTTCTCCTTTTTTTTTGTTTTGAAAAATGAAATGATTTTTTACCTTTACTACACTACACACACACAGAGTAAGGTAAGTAAGTAAGTAATAACGGTGAGAGTCACATATCGATCGGGGTTATCTATGTATGTATGTATGTCATGTTATGTACGCGTGTATACATTAATGTTTGATAGAGTTTCTACTTTGTCATAGTCTTTCTTCTCTTATTCCTAAACATTTATTGTTATTATTATTATTTCGTTCGGTTATAAGAAAAAGAATGATGTGACCACCACAATGAAGGCGAACAAATCTAATCTGTCCAGTTATTATCATTTAGTATCATTCATTATTTCTATGGTATTATGATGAACTGACTGAATTAATTATAGAGTGAGAAAAAAGTGTGTGTGTGTATGTATGCATTGTATTGTATTTATTTCCTCTCTCACTCTCTCTATTATTATTAGTTTTTATTCTTTTAATTTACAAAAACTATTTACTTCCTAAATATCTTGTTGTTGTTTCTTCTTTACATTCTCTACACTCCATTTTTTTTTATATTCTTAATACTTTGCTGTCTTCGTTTTTTTTTATTATTATTATTATGAATGATTTCAATGTATAATGTTTATATGTTTTCATTACATATATATATACATAAACAAAACACACATAGAAAAAAAATTTTAATGAGTGAACACTTATTGTTTTTTTGTTTTTTTTTCTGGCTAAATATCTCTGTTCAACTTTCGTGTATAAACATAAAAGGATGACATAGTTCTATTCGGTGAAGACGCTGACAAAATGCAGAGTCTTCTGACTATCATAAGCAACAATGCAAGCATGTTCGGGATGCGGTTTTCCCCCTCGAAATGCAAAATGTTGCTTCAAGACTGGGTTGCATCAGCACCTGAACTAGTGATAGGGAGTGAACTAGTTGAGCGGGTAGACCGCTTCACTTATCTGTGGTGTAGGAATAGGTTGAAAGAAAGCTAGGGGCGGCCAGACCAAAACATGACACAAATCCATGAATTCACTGACTAGTGGACTGAGACATGTCGACTACCTAGTTGGGGTCCGCGAGACGAAAGTCACCAATGGTTAGAGACCTTGAACGATATGGCTCAAAATCGTTTGCAATGGCGTAATTGCATCCATTCTTTGAGCTCTCTCAAATCCTGATCTTCTGGATTCGTCAGCACCTCTACCTTTTTCTTCCTAACCTTATTTCACTTAATTATACTTCTTGAATAATATCTTAGAACCCTAGTCTTCTTCATTACCATTAATACCTCTTCTATCTATATCACTATAGGATTTGATTTGACATTTGCGTCTGTGTGCTAATGTGGTATGGCAACATAAACTGATGCATATACGTACGAAGTTCTTCGTTGCAACTGACTGATAAACATAAAAGTCTACTGTTCTCTGTCCTACTTTAACGGCTGTGAAATATGGCCACTAAGAAGTGAGGATATTCGTAGGGTACGTGTTTTTCTAATCGTAGTTGTCTCTCATATCGTGGGACCAGTCAGTAAGCAGTGCTGTTGTTAGGAAACGAGTCCTAGGTACGGATGGCAGATTAATAGATGAAGTAGTGAAATTCCATCATTTGAGTCGATCGGGACATGCCTAACAACCGACTGCCTCGTCGAGCTGTTTTGCGATGTAGAAATAAGCTGGAAGAAATTTATGGACGACCAAACCAAAACATGGCAAAAATCCGTGAAGTCGCTGACAACTTGACTGAGTCATGTTGGTAGGTGTCGTCTACCTGGTTGTGGTCGGCGAGATGATAGTAATCGATGGTTAGAGACCCTGGATGACATGGCTCAAAACCGTTTGAAATGTCTCAGGTGCATCCATTCTTTGTGTCATCTGAAATCCTAATCCTCTAGGTTCTTCATCACCTTTCTCTTTCTAAGTTTATTTCACTAGATATTTTCGAACCCTAGTCTTTCCGATTACTGCTATTACTTCTATTGCCTATTTTACTTTCGGATTTAAATTGAAAATTGCGTCTCTATGCCAATGTGGTATGGCAATCTAAAATGATGTACGAAGTTCTTTGTTATAGCTGACTGACAATAAATCATCTTAGATGCATCAGAAACTTCTCGTTTATTTAGGTGATATCTGTGTTGTAATTTCAATGTATAATTCATACAGTGAATAGTGTAAGGGAACAGTCAAACTGAATCTACAGTCTGATGGTTAAGAGTTGAAAATCTTAAGATACCATTTCATATTCTTTTAGAAGACTAGTTTATTAACATATAAAATGGATATTCGTCGTATTACACCTCTAGTTTATCGTACAAATTATATAGGAAAGAAATATGTATAAAATCTAGTCCAATTACTGTCGTAATCAGATTTTAGTATATTGATCTTTAGATTATTTCGACAATCATCAACTTAACTTAGTTTTCTGTGACACTCGCTAATCAACTCTACTATGAAAGTGATCTGATTGTTATTGTTATTCAGTGATCTTTTCTGCATTAGTCTAACACGTATTGAAAATCAACAGGCCTTAAAATCCAAATAGGTGCAATTATTTGATTTTATGGTATTTAGACCTTTAACATTCAGAGCATTCTAGAATTCCTGCATAAATGTTAGAGACCTGTCCTTACTGACGACTGTCACCCCTAAAAGAACATAGGCTGATGACCAGCATTCTGCAAACATATCAATCTTCCGCTCTGCTTTCCAGTTCTATCCAATCGCTACTTATTCTTTTCATGTCTCTTTCCAATCCCCAGTGAAGTATGTTCTAGCTGTTGTCCTTCGGTCTTTAGGATTCCTGTTAAGGGCTGTCTTCAACTGTAGAGATGCTGCTCTTGCTTTGCCAACCCATGTCTTCATATCTGCATCAGTTTCACCTTGTTTATCAATGGTGTTGCCTGAATATGTGAATGCTTCCAAAGCTCTGTCAAGTGCATATTGTGTTGTATCAGAGGATCTTGCTTTTCCCTTCATGTATGTTGAGACCTACTGGTGCTACACTGGCCATCTTCGTATGTATTTATTGTTGTTTGGGGGATAGAAGGGATAGATCTATCTCCAACCGAGCTGTCCACGGTATTCCGTTCCTCCCTCTAGTTGACGTCTTCAGAATCCAGTCGATCACCAAGAGAGAGAAAGGGTTCGAGTAAGCAACCTTGCCTGACACCACACTTACTTCGAACGGGTATGTCAGCTGTCCTCCGTGCACGACTCTACAGTTGAGTCCATCATAAAAGATCCATGTGATATTAACCATCATCTCAAGTATATCATAATGTCGAACCAGGCTCCATAGTTTTGTCTTGCCCTTGCTGTTGAATGCTCTTTCGTAGTCAACGAAGTTGATGTATAGTAGTAGATTCCATTCAATTGACTGTTCCACGTTGATCCGTTTTGTTGTAATTTGGTCGGTACACGATCGATCCTGATCTGGTGAAGCCTTTGTAGCTTTGTTTGTACGATTATTTGAGATTATGGTTCTGCCTATCATCACTTTGTTGAAGGGACATAGATTTGTAAATCTCTCACCAGTTTGGTCCCTTTCTCTCAGTCGATGTCGAAACATGATGTCTTCGTATTCGCTGTTGTCCATTATAAAATTGACGTTTAGGTGTCCCATCAGAATAGTCAAATCCTTTGTAGGGCATTTCTCTACGACTGACTGAAACATATCATAAAGTTAGTATGAATCGTC